TATCAACATCTCTAAAGCCAAAATTTTCTGAAAGACTACAATATTTTCCATTATATAATTCTTAGTGGAAAAAAAATACCGGTTTTCAAGTTTGATTTTTCTTTGATTGTTTTTCTAATATAGTCACTGAAAATTAAAATCATCTAATTTAATATTAAGATCACAAATCACTATACTATTACTATTACCAAGTGTGATTGTAACATTTAGTGACAAAATATCTTGTTACAGTATGCCCATATTATGTTAACATCATCAGAAAAACAAATATATTTGTCGAAAAGAAAATTCAATAAAATTTTTTTCATTTGTTAGGCCATTGAAATTTATATTAATTTGTACCTAGTTTAATGGTATGAATAAAGAAAATTATCTGAAAGTATTAATTGAGAATTTTGTCCTTTTCCTTTACTCGTTGGAACATGAATTAAAAAATCACGTCTACAATAGAACATGGGCATTTATATGAAGATGTGAGATTTGTGATCCATAAAATTAAAATTTGAATGAAAGCAATTGATTAATTGATTAATTAATTAATTAACACATATTTATATTGTATACGTATATGTATATGTACTCTTAAATCAATGATTTATAGTTAACTCATGCAAAACGCGAAATGTAAAATCGTATTAAAAAATGCTTACGAGATAGATAAATGTTCAATTTTATCTTCAATTTTATCTCATCTTTAGAAAATCTTTAGCACGGAACTTGACTAAAAGAAACACAAGGAATATTCCCATTTGCACTACAATGACGAGATTGGGAATATTATATTTACATATTTTTCTTTTTAGATAGCATAATAAGGGTGCTTTACCAAAAATCGCAAAAAAAATCATTGTTGGTATATATTAGTGTTTTGAATTAATACAATTATGATTATGATCATCGGGTTCTAAAAATATTTATTTAATAATTTTTTACAAACCTGTATTTTTTTTATATACTTCAAATGTACAATTACTACCATTACCTATAAACGTATAACACTTATACTATAAATAAACGGAGATGAACTGTTTATTATTACACATTACATAATTATATTAGTATGTAGTAAAAAAGTAAATAAATTAAATTAACAAAATGCAAATTTCCAAAAAAATATAAAAAGAAGTGAATAATAAATAATAAATCTTTATAAAAAAATTTTTTTAAATAAAATTGGATAAATCATGAAGAATAACAATCTATATTATAATAATAATAGTAATGAAAACATTAACAATGATGTTGATGATTATAATGATGTCGATGCTAACAACTACTACAACAACAATTATAGTAATAATAAATCTTTTATTTCAATAGATTTATCGCAACAGGCTACAACAAATATGACTACAATGTCTTCACCATTATTTCGTTTATCTTCTTCACCTCTTTCTATTTTATCAATAGAAGAATGTAAATTTTATTTTTATCAGTAATACTGTAGCTGCTTTTTTTTTTATTATTGTTGGATTATCACCAATAAGATATTGAAAGCCAGGATATTTTCTTTAACTTCATCTAAAGGACAGTCAGAATGAATTTCATTTATATAGAGGAAAATACGTATGGCTTTTTTTATTTTTACCTATGATTTTCCTATGATCTACCTTTTAAAAAGACTATTTTTTACCCATTTTTTTCCATATGACCTCAATTATGATTACTTGTGGTGCTGTTATAGCAATAAAATTATCAATTTAGGTAATAAACAGCTTAGTCAGCTTAGGATTTTTAAATGGCTAACATCACTAGTCAAAGACATAATTCTATGTTTACACAAAAGACATAATTTTATGATTCTATGTCATTGACATTACTAATTAATTGAATTGTATATAAGAAGCTTGAATTTGATGTTAATAATAAGTTAATAAATTAGTTTCAACTAAATAAACAAACATTTTGTTAAATCAATAAACCAAAATTATCTATTCATCGATAAAAACTAATTCATTAATATTCTGAGACACAAATGTCCGACTTATTAAGAGATCTGACTTATCAAAATATGCAATTTTACAAAAAAAAAATCACTATTCATTATCTAAATAAAAAATTACTAAATTAAATTATTTTTTATTTAAATCAATAATTGAGTTCAATGTCAATATTTTGATGTGGATGACAAAACATGAGTCTTGTTGTTTGGTATGGCTCTCATAAAGAAGAAGTGTTAATAACTAACCAATGGTACTTTTTTTTACTTGTATAGATATGTATTTTTTTAGTATTATAAATATTTTAATTAGAATCAAAATGCGGAATAGAACTTGGTAATTTATAAGTTTCTTATAAGATTCTCATCAAGATTTGCTTTTGCTTTTCGTAATTTTTATTAATATTAATATTATTATAATTAATTACAAGTTGTCAAGGCAGCATACTGTTGAAAAAGGAACATTTTGATATTGGATGTTTGATTATTGGAAATTAGCAGATGTTGAAGCATACACACTACCTTGAACACTTTACAGTCATTCTCACACATTTCTTGTGTACATAAGGCTAATCTGACTACTGTGTCCTGATGATACAATGATGTGGCTCTGAGATTTACCAAGACTGCATCAATTGTCAATGACACTTTCACTAATATTTTCTCACAGCACCCAGACTGGAGAAAGCTGCTGGCATGCTGGCTGAAAAGTTGCCTGCAATGATCCTACCTCTAGGGTAAGGATTGGTGTAAAATAGTGTTTGTTTAGTATAATTATTTTCCTAAATTCTCTGTTTCTTTAATACTAACCAATTTATAATTTTGGGTAGGGGATTGAATGGGTTATTTCCCCTGTCCTATAGATTAAAATTATCGCATGTTTATATATATCTTGTCAGCAACATGACCAACAAGAAAAAGTCATAAAATGGTTTTGATTTTGGTATGTTATGTTATAAATTAATCATTCCCATAAATTTTGTTTCTTTTGATTTTTATTTGACCAACTGAACTTGTTATTTAAATGGGGTAGAGTTGTTAGTGAGTAGACATGCCACTGACAAGACAGCAACCCAGGTCACAACCTTCCAAGTTGGAGAATTTTGAATCAGTTGCAGACACCAACTTTATTCTAGAGGGTGATAACACAAAGCAAACATCACACAAGCACCAGCTATCAGTTATCAATGCCCATATGGTAAACAACCAAGCCTGGCCTGAGAGAAGATAGGGAAAGTTTTGTCCAAAGCCTTCCAACATGTTCAGGGTGCTTTCACCCATTGGGGGCACTCCATGGTACTGAAAGGTACTTAATTGTGCAGACCAGCATGTTTGTGATAGGAAAATTTTAATTAAATCTGACACCTGCAATCAACACCAGATTTATCACTCATAGGGAACAATCAGGAAAAATAATTTATTTTGTGAATCCCAGAGATCTGGGTAGACACACATTATTAAAAGTTTTATTTTGCATGGCCTTGGTATTATTACTACTTGGGTGATGCAATTGTTTGTTATGTCAATCATAACATCAAATATATTGAATAATAATCATTATGAATATTTGATGGATGGAGGCATTCACATACAAGTAAGTGATTAAATAGCTAAGTCATGTTTGTTTTATTAAAGATATATAATTAATTATATTTAAAATATACAATCCCTATAAAAAATTTGGCATGGAAATGTATGGGAAAATGCATGGAATTTGTATGGAAAGATGCGAATTTCAGGTAAAATTCCATGCATTGTTGTACAGAAAAGTACAGGAAAATTTCTCTGAAAATGTATGGAAAATGCACGGAAGGTGCAATTTCCTTGCATTTTCCATGCATTTTCCAATTATTTTTTTGAATAGAAAATACAGAAAATACCTGGAAAATGTCCGGAATCTGCGTCTTCTGTACATTCTCCATACATTTTCAAGGGATTTTCCTGTACTTTTCTGTAAAATTCCATGCAGTTTTCCTGTAACAAACTTCGAAATAATATGTCGCACAAATGGCATTTAATTTTATTACCATATTTGGTAAGAGGAATTCATTTTTTTTTATCGTTTAATTTAAGTTACTTGGCAATCGGGATTTTTGGTGAAGAATTATACATATTATTATTATTATCATTATTATTTTTATTAAGAAAAGAGGATATTATATTGTTATGTTATATTGTGGGGAATATAATCATATTATTATTTTTATTTATATTATTTATAATTAAAAAGTTATCTTTAAATTATGATCAATACTTTCTGGGAAGTTTATAAGCTTCCATACAATATATAGATTATATATTTATTTATTTTCTTATGATTTATATTTGTATTTTAAGAACTGTATTTTTATTATTTAAAGATGTAAAATTCAAACAAATAAAGATAATTTTTATATACAGTATAATTTTACAACAATAAAATTATCAGTTCATTAACAGTATTAAATAATATCTAAACGTTTGTAAATAATTGTGATAATTATTTGAACGTTTACACTACCACTAATATACCACCATTTAGCAAACCAAACAAAAAGAGCTTTAAGCAACTATTCAACATCAAAACTAACAAACTTCCTGATTCATACACAAAAGTATTACCTGTATTACCAGAAAATCCTGGAGAATTAACAGTGGAATGGAAAAAGATCTTCCCAATCAAAAAATATTCAATGTTAAAGGAGTTAAGGAAAATAAGAGAAAAATCAAGGGTATAATATTTTTTCTCAGGAAAATTACTAGATACATATTTTAACCTTACAAAACCAAGAGAACCTCTACCATTTTCTCTAAAAGGTCTACCAAATCACTTGGCACAATATTTCCAATTCAATTTAAATAGAACAGAAAAAACTCTTTGAGAGATAGTAAATGAATTAAGAGAATACTACTTATTCCAAAAATTACCAAACAATTATTTTACTCCTAAACCAAGGCTACCCAACTCACCAGATAAAACAACTTTTAATTATAACTTTCCAATCACTGAACAAAATACTGTCAATGAATTCATCAAAGAAGCAAGAAGAAAATATGAAATCACATTCTCTATTAATAAAAAATGGATAAATGTTCCAAAAATAAACCTCTTCTTCCTAAAAACATCAAGGAACTGGATGTTCAATTCATGTTAAATGAAGAAAAAATTCTGCCGATTACAAACAAAACTAATATAAAAAATATGGTAATAAAGCTAAGTAAAAAATATTTCTTTGAAAGGATACCTGATGAGTGGATATCAATAGAAAAGGCAAATGACAATATTGATACATCTGTTTTAGAAAATGATACCAAAATTATAATACCAAACATAGAAAAAAAACAGTTACTTGATTTAACAATAACAAAAGAACTTAACAATTATAACGTAGAAATTACAATACCTATTACTGATGACAAAAAAATTTATCAAACAACCCAATCTTAAAAAAACTTTACATCTTCAAATACCTCCCAGACACATTTATTAATCTTCCACCAATCCCAGATCCAGGCTGAGATTCAATTATTTTCTAATATACAATCAACAAAATCTACAATCACTATCAAACAAAAACAAAAACAACAAATTAAACAACAATCAACCACTATTATCACACACAAATGATATATCAAATACATTTTTAAAACATTAACAGAACACAACATAAAAGACATTGAAAAAATATCTAAAATTAAAATAGCAACACAAAACTTAAATGGACTTAAAGATATACACAAACAAACCAATTTATATAATGAACTAATAAAATTAAACATTGACATTTTTGGAATATCTGAAATGCATCTTTCAAATCAAGAAGCAAGATATAGTGAAATATAAAGCTTATACACAACAAAGGAATTATCAAAGTTATTGGAGCAACAGCCAAAATCCATATGGTAATGCCAATAAAGGAGGGGTTGGTTTTATTATCAAAACAGAAACAGCTAAACATATTGTTAAAGTCTCAAAACATTCACCCCACTTAATATGTGTTACTCTTTTGCTTAAAAGATTAAAGTTAAATATAATACAAATCTACATACCCACAAAAGAAAAAAAAGGAGGAAAGGAAAAAAACTATAGATACCATAATTGAATGGATCACACATAATAATGATAATAAAACTCTCACAATTATAATGGGAGACTATAATGCAGTATATAACCCATCAATAGATAGAATTCCAAATGGAAAAAAGAATTTAATCTTCTAAAATACTTCAGTAACAATAATTTCATAGATATATATAAGCTACAATCACTTCAAGATTATACATGAGGTCGAAATTAAAACCCCAAAGCCGAATGTTTCAACTTGAAGCAACTACATAGTAAAAATCGGTTTCGACCTTATTTCGACCCTATTTTGACCAGATCTGCAAATGGTCAAAATAGTTTTGACTTCACGTATATTCAAGATACCCCACATACATGGAAAAGATCAAATTCAAGCAGTTGTATTGATATGATATGGATCAGTAAGGAACTCATGGGAATGATACAAAATATATTACCACCAACAGAAACATCTATTAAATCAGACCATAAATTACTACAATATTCACTCATTACAATAAAAAAACAAACCAGTTTGAAGAAACATATGAACCATTCAATGACCCATCTATCTTAATGAACATTTTAAATCCACCATCACTTGAAGATATTGAAAGGGTCATAAAACAGCTACCAAAGAACAAAGCAGCAGGTCCATCCAATTTAAACATGAACATTTCATACATGCAGATAGAGAAATACACAAATTGATCCTGAACTCTTTTCTAAAGGCCCAACAACCAAAAAAATTCCAGATAAATGGAAGATGTCTTATCTATACCCAATACCAAAAAAGGAAGACTGGGAATATGACCTAAACAAAACTAGACCTATAGTTATAATGGAACCATGTAAAAAAATACTAACCAAGCTGATCACAAATAGATTAGAAGAAAAAATAAGAAATTTTAATTTATTGAAAGGTCACAACTTTGCAGCTGAAAAATATACATCAACAATAACACCAATACAAATTCTTAACAATACCATAGAACATGTCAATCAACATAAAATTACCTTCATACATTTTTTTCAAGACATGTCAAAAGCTTTTGATAATGTAGACCATCAAAGACTTAAAATAGCATTAAAATGTATCAACTTACCTCAAAATTTTATAGACTGGTATATATACCTACTGACTGACTGACAAACTAGAATTATAACACCATCAGGACTAACAGAGCCAATAACCATTCAATCAGGTATTGAACAAGGTGATCCACTCTCACCAATTATATGGAAAATATTTTATGACCCTATTTTAGCACATATTACCAACAATTATGAAACAGACCTATTAACAATTAAAACAACTTCACTTGAACAAATAAATATGCCAAATAATCACCATAGTATCTCCACAAAAATCCACCTTTAGCTTTCATGGATGACACAATCTTTATTAGTAAATCAAAGGAAGGAATAGAAAGAATCGCATCTGCTGTAAACCACTTGTATAAAATTAATAATATAAAAGTTAATTGGAACAAATCAGGCCTGCTAATCATCAATAATAAGGATACATCAATACTAGATGATAGCACAGTTATCCAACAAATGCCAAAAAGCAACACCATCTGATACCTTGGCATATATATTACAACAAAACCAACCAAACAAAAAATTTTTGATAAAATCTCACACTTTAACAATTTATTAATGTTCAAAAAAGTAAAACCAGACCAGTTGTCATGCCTATTTAATAAATGTCTCAATCCTATTCTAGAATACTTAGTGCAGATTATAACATTTAATAAAAGAGAAATGAAGAAGCTGGAATCTTCTTACATCAGTATATTAAAAATAAAATTAACTTATCAAAAAATACACCTAATGAAACATTATACAATACATTCACATTCAACTTCACATCACCAAAAAACCTATTATGTATAACCAAAAGCAATTTAATACTAAACAACCTCACATCTCACAATACAATTCTAAAATCCTCTTCAATAATTAGAATAATTGACTGGAACATCTGGAAATTTTTCTGATGCAGATTTACATAATTATTACACTATTTAAATAAGTTTATGACGGGCCTGTAATATTATGCAAATAAGCATACAAAAATTATGCAATTATTACATCAAGTGTAAATATTACATAATTTTTATGCAAATATTACAACTTTACATATTAAAATTTACGGACGTAATATTGTGGCAGGGAAAATTTCCTAATGATGTTACTGGAAGGGAAGTAAGGAAACTTGCCCTGTGAATAATTAAATAGCTTGAGCACTATAGTGAGAAAAAGTAATCAAAGAATTACATAATTGGATACTACCATAAGAAGGGATAAATAATATTCTAACCAAATCCAAGAGATTTGTGTGAGACTATAGATGTTAGCTGAAATTGCCTCTCTTAATAAATGATCATTGCCGAATCCGAAATGCCAAAATAGTTTCTAAAATTAACTTTATTAGTTGCCAAAATTATATCCAAAATTATTTGGACTCATTAACATAATAGCCGAAATGCTAGGTTGTCTTTTTATGGTCTTTAATATGAAAAATATTGTGAATCTGAAATTGCTTGCCGAAATTGATTTTTTCAAAAACAATTTTGGCTAACATCCTTATGTGAGATGTGGATTTTGATCTCACAGTACATATTAATATACTCTCCCATACGGATGATTAAAAAACTAAGTTAGATAGTAAATCATGTTTCTTCCAACTTTCATTTCTTTTTAGGTTTTGGGTCAAGGTTCTTTTTATTAGTTATGATTTTTCTTTCTTTTTAAGTAATCCTTTTTTTTCTTAGATAAGTTTCCAGTGTTTGAGTATCATTTATAAAGATGTTAGCCGAAATAGATTTTGAAAAAATCAATTTCAGCAGGCAATTTTGGATTTATAATATTTTTCATAACAATGGACATAAAAAAACTACACAGAATTTCGGTTATTGAGCTAAAGTGTTCAAATAATTTCGAATATAACTTCGGCAATTAATAAAGTTAATTTCGGCAACTATGAAAAACTATTTTGGCATTTTGGATTCAGCAACAATCATTTACTAAGAGAAGCAATTTTGGCTAACAACTATGGTACAGACCTTTTGTTTATATTGTCATTTGATCCTTTCCTTGAGCATAATGAATAACACATATTTATCACCACTGATGTGTGCATGTTTATTACAACATTCATAATAATAATTAATAATGTAAAAAATATTCTATTCTAATTCACATTAATAAAATAAAAATTTGCAAGTCATTAATATATTCATCATCAACACATCTAATATCCCCTAACTATATTTTTATTATATGCATAGACATCTTTTTTCTGAATTTATTATTAATCTCAATTTCACATATATAATCGTATTTACTTGGGGTATGATATAATGGAAAACCAGAAATAGTTATTCCTGAAAGAATTCAAAAAATCAAGAATTTCATAATCAAGCATTTAAAATTTTCGACCAATAATCAATTCATAATATAAAACTATTGCAAATAAGTGTTTAATATATAATCTATATCTTATAATACATTTTTTTTATTAGCATCTGTAATATCAATCACTTTGCCAAGAAAAAAATCATGCAATAAAGTAACTAAAAATATAACTCATTAATATAAATTTCATGATCATGATTTTGCAATACAATTATTAATGATAAGGAAAAATTGTTTGCTTATTTTGTGCTTTCTCAGGTGTACTTATAATTTTTGGTTTCTTTATTAATTTATCTCCCATTGGTTTCTCTAAATTTCTCTTTCTGGTAACTAGCTTAACCTTCTTCTTACTGAGTTCAATAAGCATATTTTTCATTTCATCTAACTTCTTTTTGTATTCCTTTAATAAGAGATATGCAAGTTCCAAATTATATAGGTCTTCACGAGAAGAAGGGAGTAAAGCCTCATACATCAAAATCAAATGAAACAGGAAACCGGAAGAGGCAAAAGCATACACCCGAATCTTGCGACCTAGCTTCCATTTTGATTTAGTATTTATATATTTACTTATAAATTGCAGTATATCATAAAATTGTTCGTATTTTTAAATTATAATGCTTACCAACCACTATCAGACCCCACAATACCAATTCACTTATATCTACACCCGTCAAATGATCTCCTGCAATCACCCATAAGTCCCGGAGCTCTAATCCAAGTTAAGAGTATCTCCTCACTCTTTAGATAGTGAACAACGTGGAAGACCACCAGAAACTTCTAAACAGCCAATAACTGGAGTCGAACTAAATTCTGATATTCAAAATTTGCGTCCACCTTAAATCCAATTCATGCACGGTCGTTTGGGTCTCTTTCTTTATTTCGGCGTATGGCGGTTGCTTCCAGTGATTGTTCACCGCTAAATAAAAGGTAATAATGATTATAATAAAAACAAGATATTTTATATTTGTACAATTTACTTACTATTTTGCCCAAAAATAGCAATCTTTTCCTATCATTGCATCCAGCAAAGGAACGATATTGCGGAACGTATGTTCAACTTCAGATAGGTCATTCTTTCGGATCATTGTTATAGAATCAATTCTAAAGGAGATACACAACCATTAGATATTATGTTTCCGTAGGAGAACAAATTATATATCTATTGCGTTTAGAATGTTGGATTTTCTAAGAATATTATTGGATTTTTCTTCTTCATCTAAGGTATATGGATTGAACATTTGCTTGGATGTCGACAACTTTTTTACATCCATCTACATGACAACGATTAATTTCCATCGCATTTTATTTTAGCTATTTCATCATGACATCAAGTGAGACAAATAACGTGTAACGTAATTTTTGTGAAAATCTAAAAAATATATATATATATATATACATATATCTTGCAACAGAATGTTGAAATTTAAAACCGAAGGCTTTAATGGGTACTCGGTTAGTTATAAATAAAATAACTCACTTTAGTTTTAAGATTATTAATTTGAAAAATAATATAAAATTTCTAGTTACAATTTAGTCCATTTTTTGAGAATAAAATGGCATGCGTGACAGCAGCAAATTTTGGATTGGTTGGTAATGGTAGATTATTTATTATTAATACCGGAGTTGGGCCGAATGGAATTGACCTTGAAAAATTGTAAGATTGTGAGATGATCATGTACTGCATATATCGACAAAAAAAATTTTTTAATGTTTTGATTTGAATGAATATTTTAGTAATTGCATATTTGATTTAGTTATGACACTCAAGATGGATTATTTGATTGTTGTTGGAGCGAATTAAATGAACATCAAATCGTAACAGCTAGTGGAGATGGATCAATTAAATTATGGGATATAACCCTTATGGTATAATCTTTAAAATAGCATTATCGTTATTATTACTTTACTTTTCTCTCACTTTCTTTAATTCTTTAATTTCTTTCCTCCTCGACTGCTTTAATTTCTTTTTGTTTTTTAAAAAAAATAAAGGAATTTCCTATAATGAATTGGCATGAACATTCTAGAGAAGTTTTTTCAGTGAATTGGAATTTAATAAAAAAAGATTGTTTTATTAGTGGATCATGGGATAGTTCTATTAAATTGGTATTTATTTAATCTAGATTTTTCAAAAAAAAAATAGATTTAAAACTTTTTCCTCTAATTTATTTGATTTATTGATTAGTGGAGGCCTGAATTAAGGCAATCAATATTAACATATAATGAACATACAAACTGTGTATATAGTACAATATGGTCACCATATAATCCTGATATATTTGGTCCAGTATCTGGTGATCAGTTAATGAAAATATGGGATACAAAAGTTCCAACAAAATCTGTTCAAACAATTCATGGACACTTGTATGAAATACTTTTCATCGGACTGGAACAAATATCAAGAAAATCAATTTGTGACAGGTTCAGTTGATAAAATCATCAAGCTATGGGATCTAAGGTTTCCCAATAGAGAGGTTATGTGTTTGATGGGTCATGAGTATGCTGTAAGAAGAGTTAAGTGTTCACCACATGATGGTAATATCATTGGAAGTGTGTCATATGATATGACAATGAAACTGTGGAATACAAGTTTGTCTAATCCTTTAATCGAAGTTTATGATGCACACACTGAATTTGTATTAGGATTGGATTTTAATTTGTATGTGGAGGGTCAAATTGCTACTTGTGCTTGGGATGAACATATACATATATTACAACCACCAGCTTTAACAAGAAAATCATTTGTTTAAAATATATATATTTGTTACTTTTAATTTTTTCATTATTATATTACTACAATTAATTTATTAATTTTTATAGTTTGGTTTTTTTAGGAATGTAAAAGTGAAAAGTTGTAAATATTTATAAATATTCTAGAAATCACAATTAAATTAATTCTAAGTTAAAAAATAATTAAATTTCTAAAAAAAATAAGAAATAAAAAAGT